GGTAGGTGTGGGGGAAAGAGCTGTCTATTTACATATCCTCTAAACTAGGACCATGCAGCCCAGGGTGGCTTTGCCATGGTGTGAAAGCATGATAATAAACAAGGTAATAAATAAAAATTAGGCTAGGAATTTCTAGTGATCTTGTTCTGCCCTGAAGAACTTCTCTAGAGACCAGATTTCAGATTCCTCCTCAGCTATGGAATCTCTGCACTGGTATGCAATATTAGACTCAATCCTCTTCAGAAACACCCACCATGTGGCCGCCTGCTCCCCCCTGCTTGCTTCTCATGAGGATCTGACAGAGATCACCGGCTGTGCCCTCCCTAATGTGAGAAGTGCTGCTTTAGGGATGGGGTGCATGCTCTGGTGGGAGCTGGCTCTTACCGTCATGTGCCAGGTGCACTGCGTGTTGGGAGAGTAGTAACTGGGGTAGTGTGGGGTGCTGATCTTCCCCTGTGGCTCCAGGCCCTCCCGCAGAGTTATATTCACTGTGCAGGCTGTAAAGACAGACATTCAAAGCCCTGCTACCTGTCAGCTCATCCTCAGCCTAGGGGTGCCATGTATTCCCCTGTCATGGGGGAGAGAAGGGGCTCTAAGGCTTGATGCAAAAGGTGACCGGAATGTCCCACCATCCCCTTTTAAGAGGCAATTTCTACCTGGCAAGAATTTTAGCCTCCTCCTCTTGTCCTGAGAAGGGTAATGGTAATGCATATTGCTGCTTTAGAATCCTACACTGAATTGACATTTATCTGCAAGTATGTCTGAATGTGATGTCCAAGCCACATCTGGTCTGCCCATGCATGAGAGCTTGGTCTTCTCTTGAAGTATTGCAGTCACTCAGGTTCTGCTTGCCAGAGCCTGGGCTGTAAAGGCTTGAGGCAGATGCTAAGGCACAAGTCCAGGTGAGGAAGCAACACCTAATCTGCTTTTTACTGACCATCTCTACCCTTGCAGTCTGAAGTGAATTGGGCCCTTAACGGGGATGGAGCACCTCTAGGTGTGGTGATGCTGTAGGAGACGACCTGTCTCCTTCCTGTGTCTATGGTTGCTCTCCTCCAGCCTTCCCACCTTTGAGGGGCACCGCCTGCGCTGACAGGATGAAGGGGTCATAGTAGCTGTACATGGCTTTCTTCCACACAACAGACATGACAGGGCCAGACGAAAGGACTTCCACAACGGGCTCCTGCCGGCTGCAGCCATAGATCCTCAGGGGAAAGAGATAAAAGGGTGGGAGTGAAGCAAGCTACAAATAAAGGAGAGAAGAACAAGAAAGACAATGGAGGTATGTGTAATCCACAGCACATGCCTGTGGTTAGGCACTAGCTGAACCAAATAAAGGGCCAACAGAGAAGCAGCTGGTGCTGCCGACATCTCTCAGGCTGCACAGCAGGCTGTGTGACATCCTACATCAGTGGCTTCAGCTGATGAGCAAGAGGCAGGTTCTGCATCAAAGAGAATTTCCTCTGCTGTAGTCTAACACCTTCCTCTCCTGTGGTATGTCGTGCCACCCTGCTGTGCTCACCCTGCTCAGGAGCTACCTACGAGGTGATGAGGTGCTTCTCCAGGGGCCCGGCTGCGTCGTACATAACCAGGCGATCCCTGCAGTCCGGGAGAGTCCACTCCAGGTGTATCTTGATCATGTAGCCCTTCAGGCCGTGGAGGTGCCAAAGACAACTGGAGGCCAGGTAGTCGGGACCCTCCAGTCTTAGGATGTCATCCTCCTGGACATAGCTGTACCTGTAGCAACCTGAATCCAGGGGAAAGGCAGAGGGATTTAAAGCTCAGGGTGATGTAAATGTGGGCAAAGTGGGGCTTAGGGTTGGTTGTAAGGGAAATTAAGGTATGAGAATGTCACTTGGTATATTAGTATGAGCTTTATTTCAGGAAAAGGCTGACTCATCTCAGTGATCTCAGTTTACTTTAACATATGTCTTGGTGGCACCTTGAACCGTTGCCCCAGTTTCTCTCTATAATAATCTGTCCCCTTTTCCTTGGTTAAGCTCATACTACTTCAGGTTGTAAATGTCAGCACAGCACTGTTATATTCCATTGCCTTTGTTTTCTTTCCCACCTCTTTCTCCTCTCAGTCCCCATATTCTTCCTGGCTTTACAACCCCCTTGTCCAGTTTCCAAATTTCAGCAGGCTTCCAGATCAGGATTTTTGAGTAGAAGTCGGCTTAAAAGTGAATTTCTGATAACATAACTAATGCAAGCTGCCAGCCATATCACTTAAAACACTGACTGAAATTACTAAAAGCATCTTCAAACATCATGGAGACAACAGGCTCCTAAATGACTGACAGTCCACCCAGTAATGAGCCACTGAGAAAACACCCGCCCCACTCAGCAGAATCTAATGGGGCCTGGAATTAGCACCATCGTACCAGTACACCAGGCTATCTGACAGGACCCATCAGGAAAGGGAGAAGCCTAACAGTGGCTGCTACTGCCCCTGGGAGCTGGGCTTTGTGCACAATGATGTGCTACAGGGGCAGGGGTGTCAGGATGCTCAGAGCAGTCCAGCTCATAGCTGCATCACATAGCTTGGATCTGGCCAAGCAGCAGGACTTGCTGCTCCCTTGCTACTATTCTCATCTCTCCTTCCCAGGATTTACAACTTCAGGAAGCCAAAAAGCTTTCTGTCCCAGGTAAAGATCCCTCCCATAAAATCACAAACTCAAAAGGAAATGAAAAAGTGGCCTACCCAGAGTGGATTTCAGCACTACTATGTCTTTCACACTGGATTCTGTCAGAAAGGAAATAAACAAATAAAAAAAAAACAACTGGTAGTATCTGAATGCTAGTATTGCAGGTGGTGACTCCCTTCCTATGTAAATGGCTCCCTTACAACTATGGCATGGGGCACCCCCCCAGGTACTTCTCTGCTCTCAGAGACCTGTTTCAGTCATGCCTTCCCTACCCTATTTCTCTGGGAAACCTGTCTGGCCTCTGCTCCAAATCCAACAGCCCCAATTAATGCTTTCCAGCCCACCAGCAGCTTCTCTGCCTTTTTCCCTTGCTTTTTTTTTTTTTTTGTGTGCTCTTCCAGGACCTCTTGCCCTTCCCACTGGAAGGGCTGGGCATTGCTGCAAGCAGCCACCCCCCTCCTCTGCCAGCTGCATGACAGGGCACAAACCCCCTTCCCAGAGCCTTCACCATCTGCTCCCCGCTCCCGTGCTCTCCCTCACTGAAAAGTCAAACAATAATAGTTAAATAACTGAAAAGTTAAACAAGAGTAGTTGAATGACCCTCACTGAAAAGTATGGGAGTTACTGAAGGTGGGGAAAGAAGTCTCTTTGATGACTGCTGGTAGAGGAGTGACTCAACATTCTTATACAGTCACCTCTGGAGAAGCAAGATGCAGAGAAAGCCACCAGCAAGGACTACGAATCTGTGCAAAACAGAGCCACAAGGTGGACAACACTTTTAGGAGACCTGGGCTTTGCTCCAGCCTCCCAGCTGACCTGGAAGTGGCCAGAGATCAGGTGCTACTGGGAATAATTGCCAAAATAAAAGGCACCGTGAGGTCAGTTGGGTGTGAGAATTGTTTTTGGGGGTTTGCCTAGGTCAGAGCTCTGGTCTTTTGTGGCTCCTACGCAGAGCTTGCAATTCTGTGGGGAGAGCTGAGCAGTTTTTTGTCATGGCAAAAACAGATGTTGTGGAAAAGATGATCCTGCAGGCAATAAGGCAGGTTCCAAGAGAAGCTCATGTGCTGGAGTGAGGGAGGTATGCTGAGCTGATGCTAAGCACTCTTTTATCTGAAGGTAATAAAACTGTAAGTTTTATTCCTGTAAGAAGCAAGTCCTGATACTCTTTGGGGGGAAGGGGAAGCTGGTGTCCTGGGGTGAGTGTAGTAGTTAGTAAAAACAAAGTGCTGGAGGGGCTTCTGCCTTAGTCAATGGTTTGCAGCTGAGTCTTAAGGGAGGTTGCAGTGAGACTTAATGTTTAGGGCTAAACAGGCCAGCAAATGAGTCTGTCAGAAAGCAATTAAGTGCTAATGACTTGCTATTAGCTAGCTATTTTTTCACTCCAATTTTACAGAGCAATTGAAGGCAGAGGTTAAGTCACTGGCTTGAGGTCACCCTGGCCCAGCTGTATAAGAGATTCTTGGCTTTTGTCTTAGCTGCTAGACTGTGCTTCTGTCTAGAGGGGGAGATGAAAAGGACCAGGGAAAGCAGAAGGAGCTGGAGAAACTGCAACTGGTGTGTTAATTCCAAAATAGAATGAAGTGCAGGCTGCTGAAATGAATAAATCAGTGAAACCGATGTGAAGGGAATAAGAGGGAAAAGGGAAAGGCTAAAAGAATGGCACCATCATTTTTGTTTATGAGTTACATTAGGAAGTGAGTAAATAAAGGGAAAATACTAGGTGGACTGACTTGGAGACATTTAGCATATTATGATATCTTTCTTCTGAAAGTTAATTTAAATTGGATGAGCATAAGGTCTGGTGTGCTGGAAACAAATTGCAAGTAGAAATATGTGACTAATGGTAACTGCTGGATGAGGTGTCTTCATGAGATGCAAATGCAGCTTCAGAATAAGATCTCAACGTGATGGTCTGGATGAGAGAGTGAAAATCACTTTAAGGAAATCACATTTTCTTTGGATACACCAAAACCCAATCCCCAAATCAAAACAATTGAGATATGGAGGGAAAAGTTGAAGAAAATATGGGTAGGATGTATTAAAATAAGATTTATCTTAGAAAAAATGCAAGTTGACATGTACGAAGAAGAAAACCCTTGAAGATATAACATTTCATGGGAAGAAGAAACTTGGAAATGAAAGTCTCTAGAGAGAAGAAACACAATGTATTTTAAGACCTGTGGTGTTTGGGGCTCTGTAAGAGGAATCAGATCAGACTGGGAAGTTAAGTCTTGTTAGACTTATAGACCAAATACAAGTTCCGTTGAACTTGGATGTATTGAATAGAGACACATCCCTAATCCTTTATCTAAAGCCTTTTTTAGGGCAGTTCTGTAGGACTGGCTTTTTAAGCAGTCTTTGATCCTCACTGTGGACAACGATAAATAATCCTTAGAGCTCTATGTCAACAACTGAAGTGGCAACAACTCTTTGTCTCAGAGGAAGACTAGTGGTGACTCAGGTATGTTGCCTTTATTCTTGTCTCAATCAAATAGTCTTTTCATAAATAAAAGTAGAAAGCCTAATTGCTTGCTGTATTTGAGCTGAGCTGATCAAATTCATGACTTGTGTAAGATTTTACTCCACAGAAGCCAAAGCTGATGGCAGGGGGGAAAAAAAGTTTACCTAGCTGGTCGTGGTCAGCTGTATCTCCAATAATCTTTAATCCTTCAAAGGAAGGATTTATTTTCTTTCTAAATCAAACTTCAGTTCTCCTCTATCAGGAAGAAATACTTATATCTGTATCTCTTTTTCCACTTTTCAGGTTTCCCCTATCTCCTTCTGTAGTGACTTCTGGCCTCTTCTCTTAAACTCCCTTCAGCACCTCATAACTCTTGGAGAATTTCTGACTGCTCAGCCCACTGCTGAGCAGCTGGTACTTACCCAGCAGAACCAGTGAGTCTGGGTTGACCCTGTACTCCATCTGGTAGGACAGGCTGTCTGAGCTGTTGAATCTGGTGGAGAGCTCTTGGTGGAGCATTGTGTTTACCCTCTCAGCAGTCACCTCCTTCTGCTGACTCTCAGGGATATGAAGGGCAAACCAGAAGAAGAAGGTCAGAGCCCCTTCCCTAATAGAGAAAAATAGCATGTTAAATATCCTCTCTCTTCCTCTCTGGAATCACTGGAGAGGCAAACCCCAGACTTTAACCCCACCACTTTTTCCACAAATCATACATATCTGTGTGGACTTTCCAGCTCACTGCTGTGACCCAGAGGAACCACTCTGAGCAGGGCAGGAGAGCTACTATGTCCAAGGTGCTAGTTTGTGCTCAGTCCTTTTGGAGGAGAAAACCATTTTATGCCACTTTAGTGATGACCATATGTGGTCAAATTAATGTGATAATTAATCAAGGCTGGTCTAATGAGTAATCGATGTGACCTTTGATTACTACTGACCAGGGATTGAGAAGAAGCACTCAGGACTTGATTGTCTCACCTCCCAGTGGTGACAAGTCCTTAGCTGAAGGACACATTTAGAGGTGTAGTATTCCATGTGAAAACACCAGAAGCAAATGTATACATCAGTTTGGAAGTTATTCCCACTTTCTTTATCTACTGTGATGACCTGAAAAGCTGTAGTCCCACATCTTCCCCATTCCACTTTTACCCTATTCCCACGTGGACCACACTTCTTGGCTGGAGTACCTTTTTCATGGTGCATTCTGGCCTCTCCCTTCTGGTGCCTAGAATCAGGCCATAACATGACTTTCTTGAATTAGAAATTATTTTCCAGCTGCTTCGTTTCTACTGAGAATGCAAGAACGTAAGCCTGGACTTATTTATTTTTTTTAAATTATTTTTTTCCAGTTCTTTCCAGTCAATATTTTTTCTCTCTTGAACTTTTGCCTCTCTGAGAAATGTCTCAGTTTGGCTTTTGGATGAAAATAAACATCAAAATATCCCCAGATCTGTCATGCTGGAACCATTCTGTATCAGCACTGCCCAGCCTAACTGAGAGCTTGTGGTGGGGTCTCCAGCAGTTTGTCATGGCCAGATTTCAGTGAAACCAGAGAGCAGTTGACTGGAAGCTTTCACAAACAACCAAGCAGAAATGCTGTGGGTGCTACTCACCCAAAGGCATACACTGTGCTCGAGTTGTAATATCGACCCAGCTCTGTGGCACGAATCAGGTCCTTCAGCTGCAACGAGAACGTCGTCTGATAACTATTGTGCCATGACACAGTGGCAAAGGACCTATGGCCAACCCTAAGCTTCGTCCCTCGTGTTGTACAGACCCACCACGTCTGTCACTTGGAGAGGGGCACCTGACCCCTTCCTGCGTCTACTCACTGAACTGCCTCAGGGCCAGCTCTGGTAAAGGAATCGCCCTCACCATCTTCTGGAGCTTAGCTGACTCCAACCAGAATGTGCTGGACTCCACCTGCCCAAGGTCCGGCGAGTACTGGCGATTCAGGACCTGGAGGCTGCCAGAGTAAAACTGCAGGATGGTTGGTTCCGGGTGCCACGGTCTGTAGTCTGCCAACAGAAGACACTACTGGATTAACTTGGTGATATATAGGACAGAGGGTTTTACCCCTGTGTATGAGTCTGTGAAGATCACCCAGAGTCACTAACACGCTTTGGGCTGGGCATTGCCTTGACTATGCCCTCTCCCCCTCCTGTGTAGGGACAAAAGGTTGAATTTTTACCTAGATAGTACCAGGTTGCTGCAGCAGCTCCAGCCAGCAAAAGGAGGACTATCCCCAGGGGCACATAGCGGAGGCAGCCACGTGAGTTAGTCTCTGATTCGTCCTTTGAGAGGGAGCTGGAATCTTCCTCCTGTTCCTCGGCTTCCATCGGGAGCACCTAGTGACACAAAGGTGATGGAGGGAGTGGAATATCTCCCTTATGAGGAAAGGCTGAGGGAGTTGGGTCTCTTTAGCTTGGAGGAGACTGAGGGGCCACCTCATCAGTGTTTAGAAATATGTTGAGGGTGAGTGTCAGGAGGATGGAGCCAGGCTTTTTTCAGTGATGTCTAGTGATAGGACAAGGGGTGATGGGTGCAAATTGGAGCATAGGAGGTTCCATGCAAATATCAGAAAAAACTTTTTACTGTGAGAGTGACAGAGCCCTGGAACAGGCTGCCCAGAGAGGTTGTGGAGTCTCCTTTGCTGGAGACATTCAAAACCCGCCTGGACACGTTCCTGTGTGATGTGCTCTGGGTGTTCCTGCTTGGCAGGGGGGTTGGACTAGATGATCTTTTGAGGCCCCTTCCAACCCCTAAGATTCTGTGACACAGCATAATATGGTCAGGCTGGGTTTTCTGCATCCCTTTGCATCTGCCTCTGCAGGTGCTCTGCCACATCTGTGCTCCTCTCCCAAGAGCCGTAGCCCTGAGAGATCTGTGTGCTAACCATCAAAGGCTTTGCAAATGTGAGTAAAACCCCTAATTCAGTAGGAGAGAGGCTTCCAGAACATTGTCCTGTTTAGGCCTCCTGAGTAATCCCTCGGTTTTCAAAGGCATTCCCTCACCTTTACTCCTGCCAAAACCACAAATAAGTACAGTAATGATTTTCTCCAGAGATAAAACTGTTATCCTCCCAGGCTGGGAATGGTTTTAAAACTCGTACTTTATTGACCTAGAAATCAATGCAATGCAAAGCACAGAGAAGCTGCACGCAACAGCCACGGCCTGGGAGCCTGAAGTTGCACTTTGCCTGCTTTGCCATTTTGCTCTCTGTCCCTAAACGCAAGCTAACCTTGCCATTCCCACCAGACCACACATCCCAGGGTTAAGTCCATGCTGGCACTGACTCGCTAGCTGAGCTAGTGAGGGGAGTGCACCTGAATAACATTCAAATCTCCATCATCCTCTGCCTGTGCCAGGGGGTGCCTTTTGTCTTCCTTTGCCTCTCGTCTACCCCAGGCTGATTCCTTTGCTTCCTCCTGAGTGCTCCTTTTTTGTCAGCCCCAGACTCTGAGGGTAAAAGATGTCAATGCCCAAGGGAGCCACATTATTCCTAGTTATCTCAGACACCTTAGTTCTCCTGTCCTCTGCTGTCACCCAGTGCACACCTGTCCCCAAAGATGCTCTGCATTTCTGTGGCTGGAGAGGAAAGGGATGCGAATGCATCCACGTGGGAGGGCACGGAGGTCTTGGGGCATGTCTGTGTCCTGCCTTCCTGTCTGTGAGTTGTCTTTGCTCCCAGTGGTGTGTGTGACTGTGTGGACTTGAATGCACAGGAGGGACTTGTTGCAGCTGTGGGGAGAGATGGTTGGCCTCACACCCATTTTAGCCCATTTGGATACTCTGAAGTATTCTCACTATAGGAGTGAGTAGGCTTCTTGGTCTCCTTGCTTTCCCCCAGTTACTGAGCCTCAGGCCCTCCAGGCTGCCTTGCAATATCTGTGAAAACATGCTTACAGAACAGGTAAGCAGCAGGTAACCCACTCAGGAACATTAAGCCCAGGTCAGTGAACATCAGCACTTGGACAATCAGCCACATATCTGCTTGTTCTAAAGCACCTTTCCAGAGAGGTAGGTGGCACAAACAGGCCCAGCACAGACTGCCCTCCCTTGCTTCTTGTGGGTCACCTGTCTGTGCAAGCCCTGGGGGGATCTCCTCCCTGGTGAACCAGGGTGGGCAGTCCAGGAGAGCAAGGGCACTTCTCTGCGCTCACAGCATCCCTTCAGAAACAGCAGCCACAAGCAAAGAACCGCAGATAGAGGGGTGGAGGGAGGAGGGCAGGAAGCAGCAGCAGAAGAGCCTCTTTGTTAGAAGATTTGATGGTAGGCATTGGGGTTTCCCCCAGAGCAGACCAACCTTTGAAACCTGCTGCCACCCATGAGGCCTGGCCCACACCCCTCTGTGCAAGCCACCTCACACATGCATGGAGGGGGGAGAGAGCAGTACATCTATTTACCCAAGCTCAAGGTCTCCTCAGCGATCAATAACCTGCTTCCATGTCCCTTCAGCTTGTCCTTTGTCCTGCTGTGACGGGTCAGTGCACCTCATGCAACAGGGTGTTGTTGGTTTTTTTTTTTTTTCCTGAAATGAAGGTTTCAGAGCCTTGCAGGAGGAAAAGATCTGTGGGCTGAGCAGGAAGAGCCTGGAAGAAGTCAGGGTAGGAACACCTCCAGCCGAGCAGAGAAGAACAAGCCAGGAGGCTGGCGCAGTCAGCCTGTGTTGTCCTCCTTGGGGGACTGGGAGTTGCTGAGCAACTGCTGTATTTCTTAGCCTTGGTGCCGTTGGAGGGAGAGGCAAAGCATAGGGTGTGTGCTCCCCAGCACAGGGATGGAGCAGACACTGGCTGGCAGGTGCAGCTCACTTGAAGGAGGGGAGGTGGCAGCTGACAGCAGGTCCAGTCACCACAGTGGTCATGCAGGTGAAAGCAAAGAACGATGTCTCTCAGTACCGACCTGCAAGACTTCCCCTGGTCTTCTTGCACTTCTTCCTGGCCAGAATCCTGATGCTGGGCTCCCCACACTCTGTTGCACCACCACTTGCTCCTCCCTGCTGCATCTGCTCTTCTTCTAACCCTGGGTCCTCCTCACCTACCTTGCCTGCACCACCTCCTGCATACAGCCCTGCAGTTATGTACGTGCCTCTCAAAAGCAGCTACTCTCCAGCTAGAGCAGAGTAAATAGAGTTATTCTGTCAATAAATGGCTGGGGGATGGGGACATGGACAACTCTTGACCTGGGGCTGAGCTCCAGCCAGTGGCAGTGAACTGGGACTGAGCTCATTTGGACCAGGGCTCAGCTGGGCTCATTTTGGCAGCTGGGCAGGGATATCTCTTTTCAGCTCTGCCACTGGCTCAGGTTTAGTCTGGGACTGCATGAAGACCAAAAGCCATTGCTGTAGTTGCCTCGTGGTGGATTCCAGTAGATAAACGTTATAGATGGATGGAAAGCTGCAGTGTTTGACTGGGAATGTGTTGGTGTGGTTATCCTGGCTAACTTGGTGCTGTACGTATAGGAAACTGGGGCATGCAGTGACAGTAAGAAATGCTTTAAGAACTGCTCAGGAGATTTAAGAGACCAGATTTCACTTTTAAAAGTGACTTTGAGCCACAATTTCTGCAGATAACTGGGTACTAGCTGCATCTTTAGGCTTATATGTACACGTATATAGCTTTCCCAAACTTACGCTATGAGGGCTTGCCACAGTGTGTCAGAACCCAGCTGAGGGTATTTACTGACGCCAGAGACCTTGTGTCCCTCTTTCTTGGAAGGAAACATCTTCCTTCTGTGGTGTTTTCAGCAGAAAAAAAAAAATAGAATCTCAATCTGATCTATCTAGGCAAGCATACCACATCAGTCACCACAGGCTTTTGAATCAAACAAGGACCTAAAACCTTGATCAGATCTGACTTCAGAAGAATTCCTTTACTGCAAGTACCCTTTACTTTCTGCTTCTTCACAGCAGAAAAAAAAGGAAGGGATGTGGGAGTGGGCTGGGACTGATGTTGCCTATTTATGAACAAGGTATCTTGGAAGGAGGGAGATGAGAGATGTGACAACTATCTTTGCTGTCCCAGGGCTTAAGATACAGAGAGGACTCATATCTGTGGCTGTTAGCTCAGTATTTTCCACACAGTGCTGTTGTTCAGCTTTGGTTTGCCTCTGGTACTGCTGGACACTGTCATAGCACCTTTCTGTGGCTTTGTGAACCACACACGGTGCGTTCACACTGTCTCGAGAGGGGACCGCTCCCCGTGTGACGTTTCCAACGAGCTCCTGGGGACCCGACAGAGAAAGGGCCATGTACCACTGAAAGTGTTGTGCCTCTGCTATTCATGACCTGGGTTTACTCACACATGAGACCACATGATCTTGTCTTCCTGGAAGAAAGGTCCGGTTATCGCCAGATCTGATGTTGAGCGCTTCCTGCCGCAGCGTGTCACACATTCACACCCAGCGTGGCTGCGAGCGCAGCGGTAGCAGCCTGCCAGCTCCAGAGCTGTCAGCGTTTCCATTCAGGGGGACAGCGGTGGTGGTGGTGGAATCCAGAGCCGGCAGGATGGTCCTCAGGGGCTTGCAGCAGGATCGCTTCCAGCTCTGCATTCTGGTTGAGCTCCTTGGGGAAGGGAGAAGGAGGGAGGGCTACAGGTGTATTAGTCTGAGAAAAGCTGTGCTTAGTTCCCTGTTTAGAAAAGCTGTTAATCCTTTTCCCCCAGCACAAAGGACATGAAAACACTGTAGATTCCTTAATATTTCTTTTATTTACAAAGAGGTAATTTTTTTTCTTTCGTACTCAGCAGCAAGAATAATTGAGAGGCTTATGAAGATCCACGTTGAGACAGTATAACAATCAGTACAACCAGGATCCTTGGCCCATGTCAGATAGGAAATTACCCATTAGGTGCAAGGGATTCAGCATCTCTTTTTGAAGAGTCCATCTGGGATGATTCTAAAAGTACAGCTAACTGCTGAGCAAGCCAGGTCTTGTCTGGGAAGCTGTGGGATCTTCTTCCCCTGCTGGAGGCAGGGAGGCAACAGAGCAATTCCCTTCTTGAGGCAAGTGAAGAAGCTGATGAGAAACAAGGTATAGCTCCCCCAGCCCTTTCAGCTGCAGACAGACTCAACTCCTTTGAGCAGCTTTTTTGAGATGAATCCCAAGCCAGAGGGTGACCCCATAGCTGGGACCCCTAATGACATTCAGGTTGCATAATGCAAGGTCAAGTAACAGTGTGCAAGCAGGATAAAAGTGAAGCTCCCTGTTTGTACAGATAGAGGTAGAGAAGAGTTGGTTCTGGGTGATACTCACAGGGGTGACAGAAGTACCAACACGTTTTATACCCTCGACCTTTTTGTTTCTTAGAAGAAATATCTTTAGCACAGGGCTGGTATTTTCCCACTGCTGAATAGACCAGAAATATGGCAAGAAAGCAGACAGCCAGTGCAGATGTTCAATGCAAGGATGGATGTAACCAGAAGAGCTTCTCTTCCTTTGCCTTGCCACTTTTCTTCTGTGATGTGCTTCTTTTTCTTAACTCAGAGGACCAAATGGAGAGTAAAAGGTGGGGGTTTTTTTGTTTGTTTTTTTTGAAAGAAAGTTGTCTTTGCTATCCCCATTCTTTGTGAGTGGATTGAGGTTTTCTTTTCAGCAAAGGTGGTTTAGTTTTCTGGGCTCATTCACCACATCTTTGCCACTAATTAGGCAATGGTTTCCCTTGAGCAATGGAAGGAACGGGCAGCACCGTTGCGATGTTTTCCACTAATACAGGATGTGGGATGAACTATTCTGCAATCAGCTCATCACAGTCAAATAACTGTATTTTGCCAGCAGGGCAGAGAGGCTTTCGATTTCATGAAAAATATTGCAGCAAGAATGGGAAATTGTGCTCGTTCTTTTCACTGCCATCATCAGACCCGGGGGGAAAGAAGGGGGGGGAGAAGGGGATTTCCTCAGTATTTTTAACCCAATAATGGGGATTTCTTTTTTACGCTGCATTGCTTAGACAGCTGATATGGTTGTTGCTCTGAGCCGACCTTAGAGACTCCAGTCTAAAGCTGGACTGAGTAGCTCAGAATGTAATGTCTGATTAAAACTTGAAGTGGAGACAACATAAAAATAAAATACACCCTTGCTCAGTCAGGAGGAGATGTCTTCATCCATTTTATTATTGGCCTCAGCACTGACTGGCAGTGCTACTGTCTCTTGTACAAAATCTCATATACACTTATTTAGGCATTTCTTTCTCAGTTTTTTAGACTGGGCTAATGCAAAGGGACCTGATAGCTGAGTGCCATTTTATAGCAAGATGAGGAGTGTGGAAGGGCTTGCACAGCCTTCTTCCAGGATCTGGGCTGGAAAAATCACTCTGGTGAGGTTTGGGATGGCTCTTGAGCAGTGTAGGAAGGGGTTTCTATGCCATCAGACTCCGTAATAGCAGAGAAACAGGTTCAGTTATGAAGGTGAGTTCTTGTTGGCCCGTATACCCAAGAATCAGATTTCTATATCTCCATTAGCTGTGTACCCACTAAACAGCTTTAATGTTCCTTCATCATTATCTCCGTGTTGCTTTACTGTTCACTAGCCAAGTTCTCCATGTCCTCTCATTTCCAGCAGTCTGTTTCACTAATACTTTCCCTTGAGAACTAGTGCTAACCACGTAGCCATCCATGAGTTTACACCTTGTCCATCCTATCCCTCTTCTGGTTTTGCAGCCCTCTACAGTAACTGTGTTCTCCAGCCTTGTTAAAGAAATAATAGTCCCAATGGGTTTGATGCTGAAGTCACATTCATGTCCTGAATACAAAAAGTTCCCTGAAGAGAAGGACTTTCCTACCTGTGAGTTTCCTTCTGGTAGATCCTAGACAGAACAATTGCTGTACTGGCTTTGGAGATCCCTCAGAGAAAGGTAGGAACCAGTGTTTGGGACCTGGCTGGAGAAGGCTGCTCTGCATGGATTCTCATCCTGGCTTTGCTCTAGAGGTGGAGGCTGAGAAAAAGAAGAGACACTGTTTGCTGCTGGTGTACAGGGATCAGTCAGAGGACCTGCCTTTCCATTCCCCTCCATTGCATCAATAGTGTCTTTGTCATGAAGATCTGGTGGGTCAGGAAAGTCAGTATCCAGCTGGCACAGGGCCTCAGCAGGTTGTGAAGCTGTTTTGTCCATCACCTTCTCATCCTGCTTTAGAACTGGTGCTGATGAGGTGTCTTCACTTGACTGCAGAGCCTTAGAAATAGCCATAGTTTGTTGGGCTTTACCTTCTGTCTCTTCCATGAAGGAGCCATTTTGGAAGCCCTGGGTTGCCTTAGTACAATGAAGAAAGTTCTGGGACAACAGGGACATGTCTTCTGCCAGTGTGCAGAGGTCTGGGGAGGGGAGAGCATGATAAAACTCACCATCCTCACTGCCACTGCCCTCCTGGGTGAAAGGCTCATAAGTGAAGTAGACCTGACAGGGCTCTACCTCAAAGGAGTTGGAAAAGTGGAAGAAGAAGTAGCCTTGGTTGGTGAAGCAACTGGATACAGAGTGCCCACTGGTTTCTAAGGGAGGATCAGGAGTCAGGGTTGCCTTGGAAAGTAGAAATTGGGATTCCTGGTCATTCTTCTGCATCACCTCAAGCATGGAGATCTCTGGGGTTGTACTGTTCACACAGTAGGAGGAGGTGGAGAATGGGGAGGAGAGCCATTTCTGTTGGGGAAGAAACACAGGAGAGACTCTTATACCCAAAGAATAACACTCAGTGAGGAACCAAAGGTTTTTTCTCCTGAGTGCCCACAACAATCAAATGACCTTTTCTCTGTTCCAGCAAGAGGTGCCGGAAATGGGGGGAGGGAAATTCACATTTGTGATGTCTCATCTGCAGGACTTTCAGAGAGAGTTTATCTTTTTGTCATGTTGAAATCAAGAGCAGATCTTGCAAGCTTATAGTTTGAGATTTCTGGATGGGGGAAGAGAGGATGGAGAAATAAACTGAAAGGAACTAAAAATAAATTACAAGATCAGAACAAGAAGTGAAGGTGGAAACACAAAAAACAGCACTGGGATAACTCTCATGGCAACTTTTCCTAGGTCCTGAACTAGTAGTGTCTGATAGATCTACATGGCCCCATACAGATTTCTTGTCTAAAGTGCTTTGTTCCTTGTGCCTGGATTTTCACACTTACCATGACTGACATCCTGCATTGCATCATTATCCGTAAAAATAAACCTGTTGTGATAATACCCAGGGTTTTTTTGTTTGTTTGTTTGTTGGGTTGTTTTTTTTTTTCTTTTTTTCCTGTAGTGGGAAAGTGTCTTCAGTGCCTGCTACACACTCTGCACCTACTCCACACTCTTCCCCTGTAGTTTAAGCTTTCTAAGGCTTTTCAAACTCAGGCTTTTCCAAAGCTTTGCTGTCCTCTGGACCTTCTGCAGTTTGTTTCCAGCCTTCTTATCATGAGATGCCCCCTTGGGATCACCTCCCACGTCTTGTATCAACAGTCCCTGTAATACTGCAGAGAATGGTAAATGTCTCCTTGCAGTTGCCCATACTCATGGAGAGATTAGGGGAAGGGAGAAAGTGGGAGTGTATAAAGAAGAGAAAGAGAGAACAAGAATGCAGAAAGCAGGGAAGTGCCATCCAGCATGATGACAATTCACATTAGGAGCAGATGAAGCTCAGAGCCAGGAGGCAGGGATCACAGCAGGAAATCTGGGGAAGAGCTGGGCAGCCTTGGGCAGGCAGGGAGGGACAGAAGTGGGGTGGAAGGGGCTCTGAGAGGTCAGGCTCCTTCCTGAAGGTCCCGTGTTTTCTCTCACGCTCCCTGTTAGGGAAGCAGGGTGCTGAGGTTTGTGTGGTTTGCTGTTTCTAGTTTCTGTAATTAGAGATGCTTTGGCCAAATGTCAGGTTTCAGAAGGTCAGCAAATAAAACTCAAGTGGAGACCCCAGCAGCTGATGCTACAGGGACATGTGTGTGCACATGTAGGTCTGGTGACCAGCTGTCTGTCCCAGGTGTGTGCAGACGGACTCTTCTTTTCCTCATTTCTCCCTCATGACCACATGGCCCATCTCCTGTCCCATACCTGAATATCACCTCCATGAACTGAAAATAGTGGGAGAAAGAACTTCTCAGGGTCTGGGATGCGAGTCTTCAGGATCTTTTTCAACCTTGAGAAAAAAGAATGAGAAGGTAGAATGAAGCAGGGACTAATCTGGTACCGTGGTGGGAGTAGAACAGGGCATCGTGCCTCATGGGTACTACCCTGGCGTGGAGGAGAGGTAAAATAAGAACAAGCCTGAGGGATCTCCTTGCTCATGAGTAGCCTGAAATGCATTAGCTAAGGCTGAGAGTTATAAAGATGAGGCAGTTAAACCTGACATTGGACAATACACTCCTCTCATCCTTTTCCCTAGGGAAGCACAACCAGCAGTTCACTAGTTTGTTCCCTGCTGTATCTTGTCACCTTAACTTCTCCACCTGCTCCCCTTAGACCCCCATCCTGATGACAAGCTGGGCAGGTCTCCCTTCCTTCTTTCCAAGCTCTAGCTGTTGTCAGTTGCCCCCTCTTTGCTTTGCTGCCACCAGAAGAACTCAGAGGACTGCATGCCCTGAATGGGACCATTGCTGGCAAAGCTGTGCCACAACTGCCTGTCTGATCTGTTAGCAGGACACTGCATGGTATGGATAGATACACAGGCCATGCAAGCCATCTGAGCACACCAACACACCAACACAGTGGCCTCTTCTTTACTGGATCCAGCATGTTGCCATTCTGAGGCAGCATGAATAATCTGCTCTTCTGACCCTTGGAGAGGTTGGCTGATCCTGTCAACTCTTTGCTGAAGTTTTGGTGTGGGATGCTCTGAGGAAAAACCCTCCTGACCTCTGAAGGCAATCAGTGTACTCTCTGAAGCATCAGAATTTGTTAGTTCTTGCACATAAACTACCTTACATCACTGCAGATGCTATTTTTATTCATGCATGTCTAATTCTTCCTTGGATCTTACCTCAGCATTATTCTCCAGCCAGTTCCCCCAGGTTAATTATACTCCTTGGAGAAAGGAGCCCTTTTAATCTCTTTCTGTGCCATGTAGCTAACCCTTCCTCACCCTTGTGTTATGACTCAAGGTAGAACACAGTGACCAGTGACTTTCTCAGTATCCATCTTCCTTCAATATGCATTACTTTCTTTCCTTACAAAGAAGCCATCGCAGCCTTTGCTGCCTCAACCCTGTGAGAATACTTCTCTGTGCTCTCCACCTTCAACATCAGCATCCTGCTTCTCTGCCCCTGTCCTGAGATGAGAAAGCCTGAAGCCATTTCTAACCTCACCATGCTGACACATCACTCTCCATAATAGTGCATGGAGCAACCTTGTGAGACACTCTCAGTCCTGAAATCAGTCCTGAATAAAAGTAGTGCCTGGACAGAAGCTCTTGCAAAGAGATCTTTTAAAACACCGTGTAGGTGTTTACCAGTATGTGATGAGATACTTCAGGACTGCACACACCAGGGAGAGGAAGAATTGTTCTCCAGGTTTTGACTACAGATCTAATGTCTCCACGTCTTGCCTGAGCTCTTGCTGGAGTGTTTAACTAAGTGAGAAGATAGAGGTACTTGGATTGTTGGGTCCTTTTCATTGAAGGAGTGCTCAACCCAGTGGTCTGCATTTTAAGAGGCAATTTTGGTGCATCCCTGCCAGGGGACACTACTCTAGCCCATGGACAACAGAAATGCTGAGGAAGCTGTGTTGAATTCAGCCAGGGCATGGCACAGCACCAGCTCACAGGAGTGCAGCACAATGCAATGATGATTGTGGAACCATATCATCTTGGGTGGTCATATAACTTCCCAGACAAAAGTCAGCCTCAAAAGTTTGGGTTATAAACCATCTTTTTAAGTCACTCTCTACCCTGAGTAATACCAAGTGAAAAATAACCCTGGTTTTGAGAAGACACATAGATACAGAAGAGGAACAGAGAGGAAAAATTGATTCTTATTTACCATTTCAAATTCCGTAAGTTAAGAAGGAAAGCAGTCCCAATAACCACAAAGATGCAGGTGCTCACTATAAGAGCTGGCAAGACTGTCCGGGATCCTTCTGCAAGGTAAGAGGACGAGTGAGTTGCTGTGAAAATTAAGCCAGAATTCTGGAGGTAGGATCTGTGGCCCTTTCACAGCAATTCCAGCCAGTCAGGGACACAAAATTGTAATATACAGGTTAGTTAAATGAATTTTGCTGTGTTGTGTAGGATGTTTTTGAGCTGAGGTGTTTTTCAAAGTCTACTTGTCATTGCTTAATAGATAATCTGTGCTGAACAGCACTCAAAGTCCCTATTCATAACAAAACTACAGCTGGGGGTTGCCACACGTGAGGTGGCACAGTCTACTGGTTGAAGTGTCCATCAACCTGTCTGTCTTGTTGCAAAGGAAATCAGGAAGTCCCAAAATCAGCTTTAGTGGGATTGAAGACTTCAAACAGCATTATGAGTTGGTGAGGAAGACAGCCTCATGAGGTTTATGGGTCTTTGAGAAGACAGGACAAAGGACAGAGAATATTAGGATCAAGGGGCTGGCTTATTTTTTGGAGAGGTGTAGGAGAGCTTTAGGATGCTAGGCAGGTTACAGCTTTCTGCTGTGTGATTATTTTGGTATTTGGATTGTAGGGTTAGGAGAAAGAGACTGAGTTCTCACATTGCCAGCACTGCCAGCACTACTCAGGCTTGTCTGGAATTATCTCAAACTTTCCTTAATCTGTCTCTTTCACACACGTCTCCCCAGAGCACTTTTTTTGGCCTTGCTACTCTGGCTCCTGTCTCCTCTGCTTGCCACCCCCATCTCTCTCCATCCCTTGTACCCTTTGGTCTGGGCCTGCAGAGCTCCTCTGGAGTAGTTGTGAGGGAGCAGATCAAAATAAAAGAAAGAGGAGACATTTTTAGGACAACCTTTCTTTGCCTGTCCTTGAGATGCTACTAAGATCATTTTGTCTCCTCTGCCTCTGGTACCCTGGTTATCTTTGGGTCTTGGTTGCTATGACAACCAGTTGCGGCTGTATCCTGTTCATTGACATCACACACTGTCAAAATTTGATCGCCACAGCAACACAGTGCCCTTACTAAACATAGCTCCTCTGTTTATATACCAGCAGCAAGCACTACAGGGAGAGGCTGGGTAGGGGCAGAGCGGGGGTGGCATGAGCAGGAATAACATCTATCTGCTTATTTTTTGGAAAAGAAATGACAGAGACCACAGCCAATGACTCACTGAAAAAACTTGCTCATGGCTCTGTCTTTCAAGGCTGGAGGTGTCCTCCATGCTGTGGTTCATGATAATGACTGATGTCAGTATCAGCAGACACTTTTGGAAGAGACTGACATGCATGTAAGTCTCTTTCATTCTCTGTGAGACTTTGCTTCCTAGTCTCAGGTATCCTTTGGTTCAAAAGCTGAGTGTTCTTTTTCACTGCATTTCACTGATAATTGCTCCAACAAACTGGGCCATTTTAGAAAGCTGGATTTATGTTCCTAGGTCACAGGAGTACCTGGGAAAATTTCAGTCCTGGTGGCTGTGGCTGCAGGTCAGATATCTGGCCTTACTGCTCTGGGGAACCAGTCCCTGATTAACATCTTGCGGATTTTGCCTGGCTTCTGGAAGTCAGAGGGGCTCTTTTAGGGTCAGAGGGGTCTTTGCCCTTAAGTCATGTTGGGCCAGTGTGACCTAACAGATTAGGAGGGACAGATTGCTTCCAGCCTTTGTATTGCTTTGTATTAACACAACCCTTCCGACCCATCATCTTCCAGCTTCTCTGCCTGCTTGGCCTTTCCACCTTGTTTTCCCTGAGTTTCCTCTTTCCTCTCCAAACCAGCCTGCCTGCCTGATCCTTACGGTGGGCGTGTATCCTCCACAGAATCGTCTCACTCCAGTCACTCCAGACGCCCTTGTAGATACTCAAGGCACCAGGCTTTGCACGGACAGCTGCCTCGTATTTCAAGCCAGGGGAGAGGCTCTCAAGCACAGCCCACATCTGATCCTGCACAATGGTGAAGTTCTTGGCCTCCTGGGATAAAGGTAAAATCAGAGCATCATCAACACCCTGCCATGGCTTATAGACTCACATACCTATCTCTTCCAAGTTCCTCAGAGAGGACCTGTCTCAGATCCCTACAACTTGTGCACTGCTTGTTCACCTTGGAGGACAAGACTTCTTCACTTTGTTTGTTATTGTTGTTTTTTTTTCCATCCTTTTCAGGTCTGTCCTGAAGCTGTCTGGATTTCTTTGTGACAGCACTAAGTAGAACAGGGTTCCTGACTGCCTCCATGTCATCACCAAACGCTGACAGCAGGTGACACAGATAAAAGAGTAGCGGGATGTCATCTGCTCTCCAGCTTCACTAACACTGTTTTTGTCCTGAGAGGAGGCCCAAGGGCACATCCTGGGGGATGTAAAGAAGACTTGGGCTTGTAGGGTGACCCAGAACTTGTAGGGTGACAGGTCTTAGTGCCCCACACCATACTCACCTCCCAGTACTGATTTGTGGTCCGATATCGCACTTGATATTCCCGCTCCCCGTACAAATAGTGAGAGGAAATATTCAGGCTCCACGTTAAGTTGTAGGTATTGTCAGTTTTGCTAACCAGCTGAAGATTTCCTGGAGGCCTCAGCTTTACTGTAATGAGAGAAGGAGCAAGGGTGATACCTCCACAGTGTCTGTCCATAACAGGGCTGTACCACAAACCCCACTGCAGCAGGGCTGGTGTCTTGGTTGTGCTCACAGACCCCAGCCAGTGAGATGCTTAGTGAGCTCCCCCTCTTTGTTCCTCCTTCTTCCCCACTGTCACTGAAGGCAACAGGCCTGTTTTCTCTGGTCTGCATTAAAGGCAGCTCCTCCTGTGAGCCTGTGAGAGTGGCCCCCGCAGTCAGTGCAAGCCCATGGAGCCCTGCATCCTATCTTGTAGGGGTGATCCACAGGCAGTTGTACCAACATGAATGGAGCATGGCTGGGGTGACAGATGCTTCCCAGATGCTTTTTCAGAGAGCAACAGCCACAGGGGATGGAATTACACAGACTGTCTGGGCTGATCCTTCCCAACTCCTGAATCCAGCCATGCCTTCCTATGTCTCACCTTGCAGCAGCTTTATTGGACCTCTCCTTGAGCTAGGTTAACTCATGCATCCAAAAAAAAAAGTACCCAAGAAGATGTGTTTTTTTTTCTGCTAGATTAGTGAGTTGACTCCTTTCAGCAAAGACTGACGCATGCCAAAGCTGGCTTAAAGGGATATGGAAGCACATATCTGGTAAGAGGGGCTGGGGAAGAGCAGCAATACTTTCCCTCCTTCTTGCAACATGAATTTTTCAGAAGGTCATCTGAGCTGTCATTGCCTGTTTGAAGCCAGAATTCCCAGTTCAAAGCAATCTCATTCAACAGTGTCCCAGATACAGGACAGGACAGAAAGTGCCTGGCATAACGTTGCATGTTAGGAGTGCAAGTGGCAGGAGTCAACATGGTTCATCTGTGTTAGGTGTAGCAGGAGGCAAGGAAAAGACACAAGTTTAAAAACAGCTAGGGGGTTGTATAGGAGTGGATGGGAAGAGAAATTACCTATCATTTTGTGTGGAAGCTTCAGAGACTGCAAGACAGATGAATACTCACTATTTTCAAGTGGACTGAAATTTTCTATTCGCACAGGTATAGACCTGTTCTCTCCAATCTTGCAGTGGACAGACAAGGTCAGACGGTCTGCAGTGGTGAAGCATTGAGTCTGCAAGGAAAATATACCATTAGCAACCCTAAAGCCTCACCAAAAAGGCATGCATCTCCTAAGCACAATAGGTTTAGAAGTACTTGACAAAAAATATGGATTATATTTGTGGTTGAAAGGCATAAGCCTCAGCGGTAAGTAGAGGAATCTAAGATTTTTACTTGATGTGGTTGGATTTTTTTTTGTTGCTCACTGGTGAAAAGAATACAATATATTGTGTTATGCTAGTTTGCTAGGATTGCTGCATGTGCTGACTAAAGGGGAAAGAAGTGACTTTCTATGAGGGCAACTTATCAAGAAAAAATATTTTTACTAAAATATCTTATGTTCAGTGGTAAGACTGAGACAACATTAGTATGAAATATTACTCTTGAAATGCAATGATTCTAAAGAGCCACATATATTATATGGTATTAAATAAACAACAGGGAAATCAACTTGATTAGAAAGAAAAGGTTTTGGAGCTGTTTAACAACTCTACAATTTGCATACAATGTGCAAAAGTAAGAAAGCTTGTCTGTTGTTTGAACTGGTTGTGACTTCATCTTTGAGGGGAATTAGCTGATATGGTGGTTTATTTCTGAAAACAGAAGGGCTACAGTAGTTCTGGATATGACTGAAGGAAGTACATAATGAGTCTAAAACCAGACTTATTTAAATAAAGAATAATAGCTAGAGGCTTTGCACCACCATTACCCCCACTGATGTGTTGCTGTTGCATCTTGCATTTGACACACCTAACCAGGCTTCACAGTAGTTAAAGATCTGGAAAATGGTACTGACCTCTTCAAGGAAAATGAGGTCAAGAGGTGACCTCAGAGCTGGTGGTGATGTCCATCCTTCCTCAGAGGAAGGGATTAGGGCCAGACTTAGATAACTGAGACATAAGATACTACATGTGACCTGTCTGCCCCCCTTCTGCATGTGTCAGGACAGCATGGCCCAGCTCACAGCAAAGTCAGTCCTCCCAGCAGAGGATCCCACAAGGCCAATACCTTGTCAACAACCCACAACTTCAAAATTAACATGCAACTTCAACCCAATCCCAGATCTGAAGTCAAGGATTAGGCTTGGGTTTTTTATACTGCTCTTGAACGTCACACTGTTTATACACCCCCACATCCACATACAAATCTTTTCCACCTTGTCATTAGCCCAGACGTCCCAGATAAATTACTCACATTGCTGTTTTTACTGAAGGTCTTGATGCATCTCCTCAGTCCTGTCATGTGTTCTGCCTTGGGTAACTCGCAGTGCTTCTTGATTATTTTATGTGAGAAACTGGGTTTTAAGCAGGAGAACTCCAATGAGCAGCAGAGATTATTTTGTATTTAGTTACACTGTATGTAATGCTAAAGGCCTCTCAAGGCATTTTGCATTGTACCACATTTGCTGAACAGGTTACAGCAAGTATATAATTCCACTATCCCTCCCCATTGCGTCACTCAGACAAATTTTACATGCTGAAACACAAAGAATAAATGCATCCCAGTTATTTCAAGGCAAAGACGACAGTAGGTTTTCCGCTTTCCAAGCCTTTGCAAAACCCTGTTGCTACCCTCTCTGCTTCCTGTTGATATCACAGGTCACACAGAGCCCAAACACACCTGTTGCCCACAACTGGACCAGTGTGGCCTTGGAAGATGGGCACCTGTCAGATCCTCTAGGGTTTACATGTCTCCTTCAAGCCACTGATAGTCCTGTAGGATCTCAGATACCAACTGAGATGTATCCTCTGAACCAGGTCCCATCTGAGTTAGCCAGGACCGTACATCACACTCGGTAATGCTACACCACAACCTCTCTTCTGCTCTGGCAAGAGTGGCTGGACAGCCTAAGCTGACAGCACAGGGGGTGACAGAGTGGGATTGCAGCTGAGAGGCTACCAGATTGAGCTGGCTGCTCTAGGTCAGAAAAGCTGGGACTTGATGGTGGCTGGAAGAGGTGGAGTCCTGGAGCCCTGGTCAAGCAATGACACAGCTCCAAATCCAGCCCAAATTCCATGCACAGCCATTGTGATTCAGTCCCACAGAGCACTAGAAATATTTTTACTTTCTCAGTCCCATGCACCAGGCCCCAGAACATACTTGCCAATCTCACCCCACTGGAGATGTCTCTATGACAGTCAGGAGCAACCCACCCACTGCCAGAATCACACGCAGCCTGTCCCTGTGAGAGGCACCCAGGGAAGCCTTGAGGGAGGCTGATAAGTTACTTGGCTGAAGTTGTCGTACTTGGAGACCACAGAGACTCAGTCAAACCCCACTGTGGTACTGGCCACACACCTACCCCTCTGCTGGGAGGTGTGTGGGCGAGGTAAACATCATGAACCAAGAGAGATGAAAGGGCCAGGGGAGATAAAGGGAACAATAATTCCTTTCATTTATTGTCACTCAGGGTGCAACATCTTAAAGAATGGGTAAAGGGCCCCTATATAACTTGAATTCCACCCGCATCTCTATAAATTCTCCTTTCCCATTGAAAATGCCTTTCAGTCCAGAGGGTGGCTATCAAGGAAGAGGCATTTTTGAAAAACGAAGCACAGACAGAGCTATGGAGCTGGAAGATGGGCTGTGTTAGGCCCACTGAGCACTGGACAGCATCTCAGCCCATATAGGGTTAGAGACGGAGTTCAAGATACAGCCTCCTGGCTGTATGACTCCACTACATCTGGCCTCGGAAAGGGGGAGCCTGCAGTTATGCTAAGGGGTAAACTTTCCAGGATAGTTTCATTCAAAGCATTGGCTTTCATCAGCTTCTCTAGCCACCCACCTGTCACAAAGACGGAAGGTCGACAAAACCTCTAGCTGGCATGGTGCTTCAACCAGGTCCTTGCCTGGCTTCCAGTCACAGAAGAGAGCTGCCCGTGAGTCATACCAACATGTTAAACTGGAGGTGCCTACCAGCAGAGAAGTGATGGACAATGGCATGATTAAATTAGCAATGATGTTTGGCATTAACCATCGCCCCATCAATCCTGCCCCATCCAAAACTACAGACTTGTCTCCTGGACAACTGTCTCAAAACAAGGAAGGCAGAGCCATGCACTTCCCTGTGTCCTAGGAGGTTGATGTGCTCATAAGAGACCTTTAACTCCTTCAGCTTCCTCTGGCTGTATGTTACACCACAAGCACTGCACAGCAATACACAGTGGCACACACACTCCTCTGGCTGACCCTCCTCCCTGCTTGCCCAGCTAGTGCAGATGAAGGGGAATCACTTCTTACCTTGTGCCAAGTCTGATGCCTGTGAGAGAGGTGTGGGGCTGAACAGCCAGAAGTGACACAGGAGCAGCAAAGAGGACTTCATCTGTACTGGTGACACACTGAAAGAGAGAAGATGCCCCTCCAGCATAACTCAGCAATGCAAATTAGGAAGATGTCATCTCACAGGAGGCATCCTCTGCCTCAGGGCAGGGTTCAAAGTCAGTGCCAGCCTTCTGGGCTCAGAAACTCAGACTTTCTGCTCTGGAGTTAGTGTTTTTCCCTCAGCACCTCAGTGTTTCCTGCCTTGGGTGCTTTGCTCAGAGCTTTGGCAGTGCCACGCAGATGGGCTGTTTGGAGGAGTAATGCCTGCGGGAAATGTGTGTGTGCACGCACAGCAGTCCACGTGTGTTGTTTCAGGCTGCTTGCTGACTCAGGTAGAGCTTGTGTTTTGAAGAGCTGCTTTTTTGATAAGCAAGACCTGTGGCTGAAATAACTAGGTCCTCACTGAGCAAGCAGGGTCTCTGGCTGCAACTGAAAAAGTTAGTTGCCAAGCTCATGGCTCAGGAGGCAGGTTTTGAATGGCGTGTTTGGGAGAGGGGAGGAAATTGGGGAGAATTAGGAGTTTACCAGGTTCTGGAATGTCAAGGCTTCATCATATCACAAAATATCACATAGTCACGCACAAAACATGGACCACCCTTGCCAAGAAGACCCTGCACTGCCTTGAAAGGAGCTGTGCTTTTAGGTGTAGCATAAAATTTGGACTTTGTAATTAGGAAACTCTTCAGCACCCCTCCTCCACCTGTGGCACCCAAGGAGACTCCTCATCTTACAAAGCCTGTACAGCCGTACTCCATATTAGACAAACTGGGCTTACGGGCTCCTCATCCAAGCCTCCCACCCTCCCCATCCACATGGACACCCTTACCTTGAGGTCTGCCTCTGCCCATGGGAGAAGGGGCCACCCTCACCTCTCAGCAAGTCGGGAGCCCAGACAGGGCTCAGCAAAACAAGGCAGAGCCCTGCT